GGAGATGGAAGAGGCGAAGAAAAAGATAGGAGGAGGGAAAGAAGAAAAGATTAGGAGAAAGAAGCGAATAAGAAGAGTGGAAGGTGGAGGAGGAGATGGAAGAGGCGAAGAAAAAAGATAGGAGGAGGGAAAGAAGAAAAGATTAGGAGAAAGAGGCGAATAAGAAGAGTAGAAGGTGGAGGAGGAGATGGAAGAGGCAAAGAAGAAAGATAGGAGGAGGGAAAGAAGAAAAGATTAGGAGAAAGAGGCGAATAAGAAGAGTAGAAGGTGGAGGAGGAGATGGAAGAGGCGAAGAAAAGATAAGAGGAGGGAAAGAAGAAAAGATTAGGAGAAAGAAGCGAATAAGAAGAGTGGAAGGTGGAGGAGGAGATGGAAGGAGGCGAAGAAAAAGATAGGAGGAGGAAAGAAGAAAAGAAGAAAGAAGAATAAGAAGAGTGGGAAGGTGGAGGAGAAGAGAAGAAAAAAGATAAGAGGAGGAAAGAAGAAAGATTAGGAGAAAGAAGCGAAGAAAAAAAAAGTGGAAGGTGGAGGAGGGAAAGAAGAAAAAAGAAGAGGAGAGAAAGAAGGAACAAGAAGAAGAAGGTGGAGGAGGAGATGGAAGAGAAGAAAAAGATAGGGAGGAGATGAAGAGAAAAGAAGAAAAAAAGGAATGGAAGGAGGAGGAAGAAAAAAAGAAGAAAAGAAGAAAGAGAAAGAAGTTGAATAATAAAGAGTGGAAGGTGGAGGAGGAGATGGAAGAGGCGAAGAAAAAGATAAGAGGAGGGAAAAGAAGAAAAGATTAGGGAGAAAGATGGAATAAGAAGAGTAGAAGGTGGAGGAGGAGATGGAAGAGGCGAAGAAAAAAGATAGGAGGAGGGAAAGAAGAAAAGATTAGGAGAAAGAAGCGAATAAGAAGAGTGGAAGGTGGAGGAGGAGATGGAAGAGGCGAAGAAAAAAGATAAGAGGAGGGAAAGAAGAAAAGATTAGGAGAAAGAAGCGAATAAGAAGAGTAGAAGGTGGAGGAGGAGATGTGAAGAGCAAAGAAAAAGATAAGAGGAGGGAAAGAAGAAAGATTAGGAGAAAGAAGGAATAAGAAGAGGGAAGGTGGAGGAGGAGATGGAAGAGGCGAAGAAAAAAAAGATAAGGGAGGAGGGAAAGAAGAAAAGAGGAAGGGAAAGAGAAGGAATAAGAAAAGAAGGTAGAGGAGGGAAATGGAAGAGGAGAAGAAAAAAGATAAGAGGAGGGAAAGAAGAAAGAAAAAGAAAGGAGAAAGAAGGAGGGAGAAGAAAGATTAGGAGAAGGTGGAGGAGGGAGGTGGAAGAGATGGAAGAAAAAGATAAGAGGAGGGAAAGAAGAAAAAGATTAGGAGAAAGAAGGAATAAGAAGAGTGGAAGGTGGAGGAGGAGATGAAGAGGGAAAAAAGATAAGAGGAGGGAAAGAAGAAAAGATTAGGAGAAAGAAGGAATAAGAAGAGGAAGGTGAGGAGGAGATGGAAGAGGCGAAAAAAGATAAGAGGAGGAAAAGAAAAGATTAGGAGAAAGAAGGAATAAGAAGAGGAAGGTGGAGGAGGAGATGGAAGAGGAAGAAAAAGATAAGAGGAGGGAAAAGAAGAAAAGATTAGGGAGAAAGAAGGAATAAGAAGAGTGGAAGGTGGAGGAGGAGATGGAAGAGGCGAAGAAAAAGATAAGAGGAGGAAAAAAGAAGAAAAGATTAGAGAAAAAGGAATAAGAAGAGTAGGGAAGGTGGAGGAGGAGATGGAAGAGGCGAAGAAAAAAGATAAGAGGAGGAAAGAAGAAAAGATTGGGAGAAAGAAACGAATAAGAAGAGTGGAAGGTGGAGGAGGAGATGGAAGAGGCGAAGAAAAAAGATAGGAGGAGGGAAAGAAGAAAAGATTAGGAGAAAGAAGCGAATAAGAAGAGTAGAAGGTGGAGGAGGAGATGGAAGAGGCGAAGAAAAAAGATAGGAGGAGGGAAAGAAGAAAAGATTAGGAGAAAGAAGCGAATAAGAAGAGAGAAGGTGGAGGAGAGATGGAAGAAGCGAAAAAAAAGATAGAGAGGGAAAGAAGAAAAGATTAGGAGAGGGCAAGAATAAGAAGATGGAAGGGGGGAGGAGGAAGAGGAAGAAAAAGTGAAAGGAGGAAAGAAGAAAAGATTGGGAGAAAGAAGCGAAGAAGTGGAAGGAGGAAGGAGAATGGAAGAAGGAAAAAGATAAGAGGAGGGAAAGAAGAAAAGATTAGGAGAAAGAAGGAATAAGAAGAGGAAGGTGGAGGAGGAGATGGAAGAGGCGAAAAAAAAAAAGGAGGAGGAAAAGAAAAAAAAAGGAGAAAAAATGAATGAAGAAAAGGTGGAAGAGGAGATGGAAGAGGGAGGAAGAAAAAGTGAGAGGAGGGAAAGAAAAATATAAGAGGAATGAGAAAAGAATAAGAAGAAAGGAAGGTGGAGGAGGGAGATGGAAAAATGAAGAAAAAGATATTGAAGGGAAAGAAGAAAAGAAGAAGAAGAAGCGAATAAGAAGAGTAGAAGGAGGAGGAGATGAAGAAGAAGAAAAACATAAGAGGTGGGGGAGACAGAGAAAGAAGAATAAGAAGAAGAAGGTGGGGGAGGAGGAAAAGAAAGAGAAGAAAAAAGAGGAGAATAGATGGACAGAAAGAAGAAAAAGATGAAGGAGAAAGAAGGTAAGAAGAAATGAACGAAGAAGAAAAAAAAGAAGGAAGAGAAGAAAAAAAAGAAGAGTCGAAAAAGAAGAAAGAAATGAGAGAAAAAGAAGAAGATGAAGAAGGAGGAAGAAGGAAGATCTGAAGAAAAGTGGAAATGAAAAAAAAAGAAAGAAGAGAAGGAAAGAAGAAAAAGATTATTGAAAGAAGAAGGAGAGAAAGAAGAAGAAGAAAAGAGGAGGGAAGAGAAGGTTAGAAAAGACAGAGGCGAAAAAAGAAGAAGAATGAAGGTGGAGCTGAGAAAAAAGAAGAAAAGAAAGAAAGAATCGAAGAAAGGAAGAAAGAAGAAAAAGAAAATATGGAGCTGAGATGACGATACGAAAGAAGAAGAAGAAGGATGAGGAGGGGACAGACATTGAAATAAGGAGAAAGAAAAAGGAATGAAGAAAAGAGTAGGAGAAGACGATGGGGGAAGAAGAAGAAGAAGAAGAAAAGAAGAGGAAAAGAAAAGAAGAAGAAGAAGAAGAAGAAGAATCAGGAGGAAGAGTGGAGAAGAAGAAGAAGAAGAAGAAGAAGAGGAAAAGAAAAGAAAAAAGGAAGAAGAATCAGGAAGAAGAAGAAGAAGGTGAAGAGAAGAAGAAGAAGAAGAAGAAGAAAGAGTGAAGAAGAAGAAGAAGAAGAAGGAAAAGAAGAAGAAAAGAAGAAGAGGAAGAGTGGAAGAAGTAGAAGAAGAAGAAGAAGGATGAGAAGGGGACAGAGAGTGAAATAAGAAGAAGAGTAGAAGGTGGAGGAGATGAAGAAAAGAGTAGGAGATAAAGAGAAGAAGAAGAAGTAGAAAAAGATGGACAGAGAGTGAAAAAAGGAAGAAGAAATAGGCGAATGTAGAAGTAACGTATCGGACGAAGAAAACACGGCAAAGAACAAGAAGAATAAAAGAAAAAAATGATGGAAAGATGATAATAAAATAATTATTAGCGAAAAGGAAAGATAAGACTATATATCTTTTTTATTTTTCGCGAGGATAGAAATTAACCGAATAAAAGAACACCGACAAGGAAGAAGTGAAGCTAACAATGAAAGCGACAGAAGACGGAAAAGCCAACGTCAACGAAGAAGACAGAAGGACGAAAGGAGAAGCTGAGGAAAAGAAGAAACAAGCTGGGATTAATCAGAAGTCTAAATCTACAGTGTCGCGTAACTCATCTAATTTATTGAATTACGGAATAAAAATTTCGTTTTCTAAACCAATTTACACGATTTCACTTGTCGTCATCGACGCCATGTTTTTTTCTTTTTTATTCTACGATTACTTTTTAACTGTTTAGATGGGATGTAGGGTGGTTGCAGCAAGATTGGTTTTCCAAAACAAAAAAAAAAACGTCTTTGAGGTTTGTGGTCTGTGTATGGGTTAGGTGTTCCTCTGCTTGTGGAGACGCGTGTTTCTGCTTCGAAGGGAACAACAGCAGAGTGTTTACTAACCATGAGCCGAGATCAAATCTTCGCTCGAACATCTAAGATTTCGAGGAGTATCGAATTTTCTAGGTGACGTCCTATCGCCATTAATCTTGAGAAGAAAAGATGCAAAAAAAAACGCTTTTTAGTAAATTTATAATTACATATATATATATATATATATATATATATATATATATATTATGTCGGAGGTTTATTCATGTCGGAGGTCAATAAGCATTTACTTTTTCGGTGATTTATATTTCAATTTACAATCACTTTCTTGGCTCCTCGACAGGTACATATTGATAGTCTGTTATGAACATTATTCGGACTGTTATCCTCATCTTCATTGAACATATTCACAACGTTTCGGTCGTTGTACGCCCGGCCTTCTTCAGGTGATTGGAATTTCGAATCGAACCTTTATTCTATTTAAAGTATTATATTCATATCGATCGGGTCTATTTCTCTCTATTTATGTTCATATCCATCTCTTTTTACGGGGGTCTATATCTCTAAGATGAGGTATTATGATTATTTACATTATTGACATTAGTCGGACTGTTATCCTCATCTTCACTGCCATAATCACAACGTTCCGGCCGTTGTACGCTTTGGCCTTCTTCAGGTGATTGGACTTTCGAACTGAACCCTTTATTTCGTCCGTCGGGGTAGATTGTTCTTGTTCCACGTGCCATGCCTCTTCCGGATGTCTCAGTTATTTCCCTTTAACTTAATTCTCCATGTTTTTGTTCATCACTGCTGTGGATTAGTATTGAAAACACAACTCTTTGGGTGTAGTTACTGGGTCTAAAACATCGGGAGTTAACTTGGATCATGTTTCATTCGAAAAATATGAAAAAAAATAACAGAATTGCGTGTTTTGCTTCAATTAATTTGCACAAGGGTGTAGAAGAAAAGTCAACAAAGGTAAATAACTGAGATATCCGGAAGAAGCATGGCACGTGGAACTAGAACAATCTACCCCGGTGAACGAAATAAAGGGTTCGGTTCGAAATTCTGATCTAGCAGCTACAATGTTATGACTTTCTTTTCATGGCGAATACATAATATTTTTAAAAGACATATTTTAAAAAAATGGTAGAAATAAATTTGTTTTCGAAAAATGTGTATTTCTAAATAACTACACTGTACATATATACTGTACGGTTATCGATAGCTGTTCGATATACTGTACGGTTATCGATAGCTGTGATTACCGATAGCTGCGCGTGCTAATTGAGACGGATCAATAAAATGTCGAATAATTTACATACATAGGAAGCTAAATAGATTCTACTGAAAAGGACGTGAAAATTCGTAAAGCTAAAGCTTAGGTCGCCTTCAATAAAATGGATGTAATTCTGGAAATCAAATCGAACAGAAAAACTCAAACGGATCTTCTCATGTACCACTGTAGAGTTGGAGATTAACTAAAACCCTAGAGTCTAAGCTTGATGGAACCTACACTCGGATGCTAAGAGCTATACTTAACATCTCCTGGAGATAACACCCAACTAAATCACAGTTCTGTGGACCCATTTCTGATATTTCTACAATCTTAGAATGCGCTTGGGAGGACACTCGCGAATGATCTACGGCTCTGGACACATAGCCATGGCACAAAACGAGCTGGTCACCCAGCAATCACTTACATTGGCCACTTATGTAATGAAACAAAATGCCAGGCTGATGACCTTCTGACCTTGATGCAGGGCCGGGTTGATTGGCGTGACAGAATCATGAATATCCGAGATAGCTCCACCAAATAAAAATAAAGTGCTACTAGCATTCGGAAAGATATGATTATGTCTCCTCCTCACCAAATATGGGTAAATAGCAAGACAGAGTTGTTTTTAATGTATGGTACCTCTGCTTGGATATTAACTAAGAACCCTAGAGTCTAAGCTTGATGGAACCTACATGCTGAGAGCTATACTTAACGCTTAACATCTCCTGGAGATGACATCCAACTAAATCACCGTTCTGTGAACCAATCCCTGATATTTCTACAATCTTAGAATGCGCGTGGCAGGACACCAGCGATTGATCTACTTCTCTGGACACCTAGCCATGGCACAAGACGGGCTGTTCACCAAGCAATCACTTATATTGACCAGTTATGTTATGACACGGAAAGCCAGGTTAATGACCTTCCGACGTTGATGTAGGGCCGTGTTGATTAGCGTGATAGAATCATGAATATACTTAAGGTTGCTTCAAACTAAAAATAAAACCCTAATGTCTAGCGTTCGGAAAGGTATGATTATATCTCCCCTCCACCAAATATGGGACAAAAGAGTTGGTTTTATTAAATAGGTACCCTGCTTGGATATTAACTAAAACCCTAGAGTTTAAGCTTACAGGAACCTACACTCTGATGCTGAGAACTGTACTTAACATGTCCTGGAGATAACATCCAACTAAATCACAGCTATATGGTCCAATCTCTGATATTTCTACAAGCTTAGAATGCACTTGGTATAGCACTTGCGATTGATCTACATGTTCTGGACACCTAGCCATTGCACAAGATGGGCTGGTCACCAAGCAACCATCTACATTGACCAGTTATGTTATGAAACAGAATGCCAGTCTAATGATCTTCCGAACTTCATGCAGGAACATGATAGAATCATGAATATCCAAGATAGCTCCACCAAATAACAATAACGTGTTTTAGCGTTCGGAAAGATATGACTATATCTCCCTCCAGAAAACTTGGGTAAATAGCAAGACAGATTTGTTTTAATGTATAGTACCACTTCTTTGATATTAACTAAAATTTTTGAGTTTAAGCTTGATGCAACCTACATGCTGAAGATAACATCCAACTAAATCACAGTTCTGTGAACCAATCCAGAATATTGTTACAATCTTAGAATGCGCTCTTGCAGAAGACTGCTGGAAAGAAAAGAACTTGTGTGTGATCTACTGGTCAACACATATAAATATGGCACAAGACAGGCTGGTCCCCCCAGCAATCACTTATTGATTAATGTTAAATGTCATGAAACAGAATGTCACGCTAATGACCTTCCGACCTTTATGCAGGGCCGTTATGATTGGTGATAGAATCCTGAATATCCGAGATAGTTCCACCAAATAAAAATAAAGTGCTACTAGCGTTCGAAAGATATAATGCATATCTCGCCTCCAGCAAATATGGGTAAATAACAAGACAGAGTTGGTTTTAATGTATGGTGCCTGTGCTTGGATGTTAACTAAGAACCCTAGAGCCCTAAAGCTTGATGGAACCTACATGCTGAGAGCTTTTTTTAACACTTAACATCTCCTGGAGATGACAGCCAACTAAATCACCGTTCTGTGAACCAATCCCTGATATTTTACAATCTTAGAACGCAGCGTGGCAGGACACTGCTGGCAATCGAAACAAGAACATGTGTGATCTATCATTCTGGACACATAGCCATGGCAGAAGATGAGCTGGTCACCCAGCAATCACCTACATTGACCAGTTATGTTATGACACATAATGCCGCGCTAATGACCTTCCGACCTTGATGCAGGGCCGTGAAGATTGTCGCGATAGAATCATGAATATCAGAGATAGTTCAACCAAATAAAAATAACGTGCTATTACGGTTAGAAAAGGTATGGCTATATCTCGCCTCCACCAAATATGGGTAAATAGCAAGACAGATTGTGCCCTATAGCCTTGGTTTGCAACCAGTCTAGGAGAAGGAAACAACTTGATATGGTTGTTTGGAACTCCATTAATAATCCATTTTATCTGTTGTTCGCCCCTGCATTGTCGTCATCAGGTCCCTAATGATCAACCCTGTGTCCCGAGCTATGGTGTCTGAGAAAGTCTACTTTTGCGAGAAACGTGTTATGGAAAAGAACAAAATGCTTCCGCCAGTGAAAATTCAAATATCATAACATATAGCGAAAAAGACGGCTAGGTTAATTTTCACAGGGTTTATATAATCGTTGATGCAAAAAAATAAATAAATAAAAATAAATAAAAATAAAAATAACCCTTCTCGTTCGACCCTCTATTGTGACACTGAATGTCATGTTTCTAAAAAAAATGGGGCGGGTTAAACATTCATTCATTCACAGGTCGAGCAACCACGGCGGCAGGTTACTTGGGGTTAAACAGCTCCCGCGTTCGTTGTTGATTCGTCTCAGTCTTCTACAACGACAACTCATACTTCTGACTTCAATCGATCGATCGGTTTATATGCATCTCGCCCAACACTCATTACCACTCAAAGATCAGTACGTATTCCTCAATTAATTATTTTCTCCAACCCTGGAAACGACAGTGACCCTAAAAAAAGGGGGTCTGGTATTTCAAAAAAAAAAAAAAAGAAAAAAAAAAGTTTTCTAAATTTCTCGAGGATCGGCCGTTCTTTTCAAAACAATATATTTTCCGTCAACAAACTTGTATGCTTAAAAATTATTTCAGATCGGCAATTTTGTTTGCCAATTTTCAAATCCGACTCAACTTCTAATTTCATTTTTGGTTTTACTTAAATTCGGTCTTCGGCCGACAATGATCTTCAAATGCCAACACAGTCAACTTTTCAAAACAAAATTATTTATTTCAAATTTTTCTTCTCTTTTACATTCCGGCTTTTATCGGAGACTCATAACAATTCTTATGTGCATTTCTGTTTATTAAAAAGTAAGTAAAACATTATTTTTTTTTCTTCGCTTCATATTTCAATTCCTCTTTCTCACTTTATCGTTTTCTTGTTTAACGTTTTTAACCCTTCCCATTTCTCTAATTCCTATACGGGGTTTTCACATGAACCCTTTTAATACTAATTTCACAGTCCCGATTGTGTCCCATTCCTTCTGCCATAAAGTGACCATATATAGAGATTTTTTGAATCAATTCCTTTTCAATATGAGCATAATGCACAAAGGCAAATTCTCCGTAGACTGCGTATTTTCTAACCTTGTTTTTATGCCCTTGTTATAGTGGAACACATCTATTCTATAGTTAACAGACTCTGTAAATGATTAAACAAAAATAGTAAAGATATTTGTATAATCGGCAGTTTTGATCAGGTGTTTAATGTTTTGTATTCGACCGTGTGTCGGATATTAAAGTATCAATCACAACAAATTATTATGCGTAATTATATGCGGAAATACCAAGTTAAAACGTTTTCGGTACGTCGAACCTATTTTTAGGATTACACTTAGTACAAATACAAGCCTTGAATTGAAAAACCACTAATTAACAAAATTACGACGAATTGAACTCATACGGGGAAGAAAAACCTTTCGTACAAAACATAAACTTATTTCAAATTTGAAAGTGTATTCTCACATTGGACACTAAGTGATAGTTTACAATATTTTTTTAGATCTTATTCAAAATTAATAAAAAGAATGTTTATTAATTTAACCTTTCATTTTTTATTTGATGTATTGCAAAAATAAACAAAGGCCCACTTACCATCGGGCGAGTTGACACACTGGCCAGCCCGTCGCTGACTACCACAGACCCGATTATCAGTTCTCTGTCCTTAACTAGAATTGCAGTAGAGGTTAGACGTCATGGTTGCGGGTAAAAAAAAACATTTTTATTTTTTAAGTATGCGTCAATAAAATTTCATCTAGAGATTTGGGAAAAACAAATTTATAACCGTCTTAGAAGAATATATGTTAACCATACTAAAATATTTTTAACTTTCGCCCGCATTTTACATTGTTTTGTCAGATTGTTCAGTGCTTTTATCAGACCAATGCCATGAGAATTGCACACATTTGGCTGGGATAGATAAATTTTATATTCATTCACTTGAAAATACTAGCAGCTATTGTATATTTTTGAAAACCAGCTTTATTTTGTTGGTGTGCTAATCTCTCCCTCACTAAACATTTTATAATTGTGCTTGTCCTTACATTTCTTAGTTAGCACGACCTTTACGTCCTGTCAATACTTCAGAAATAATGGACTGTTCCGTTTTGACAGCCTGGTTTCGGTGAGAAAATGAATGAATGAGAGAAAGAAAGAAGGGAAAATAGAACTGTTCAAAAACCGTTTCAGTTAAAGGGAAAATTTGTCAGTTTCAAATTTTTCTCATTTGTATCCCCTTACTTCTTAAAAAAACATATCGACCAGCATTCATATTTTTGATTGTTATTAGAATATGTTTGTCAAAATTGTTAAACTCAGATATTTAACGATGCAACAGGGGAATTTCTACGAATAATTTATTGTCGTAGAACTCGCCATGAGCTTATTCAATCATTAACTGGAAAATTAAGATTAAGCAGAGATTTCAATTTTACTTCATTTGTCATAACTTCTTCCCTGTCTCTTCCTTTTTCTTATTTTCTTTCATTTTTTTTTCAAAATTATCATTATTATTATCCTATGATAATTGTGCTTGTCCTTCCCTTCGTTAGTTCGCACGACCGTTACGCCCTGCCAATGCCTCATAAATAAGGAACTATTAAGTTTTTCATGACTTGGAAAAAAAGAGTACATTGTTTCAGTGAGAAAATAAAAGAATGAAAGAGCCAAAGAAAGAAAAAAAGAAAGAAAGTTGGAGAAAAAGATGAAAGCGTTTAAAGTCACTTTCCCAATACCTCATAAATAATGGACTAATCCGTTTTGATTTCGTGGAAAGAGGGAAAAAAGACAGTACAGCGAGAAAAGGAAAAAAAGAAAGAAAGAAAAAAAAAGAAAGAAAGAAAGAAAAAAAGAAAGGAAGGAAGAACGAACGAACGAAAGAAAGAAAGAAAGAAAAAAAGAAAGAAAGAAAAAGAAAGAAAGATCGAAAGAAAGATAAAAGTATTTAACATCTCCTGCCAATATCTCATAAATAATGGACTAATCCGTTTTGATTTCCTAGAAAGAGTGAATAAATAGTCCATTGTTTCAGCGAGAAAATAATAGAAAGAAAGAAAGAAAACAGACAGAAAGAAAGGAGGAACAAAAGAAAGAAAGGAAAAGAAAGATGGAAAGAAAGATAAAATTGCTTAACGTCTCCTGTCAGTACCTCATAAATAATGGACTACTCCGTTTTGAGTGCGTAGAATGACAAAAGACATACGCTATTTAGTTTTAGTTGGAAAATCAATGATATATAGATAGATAGATAGATAGATAGATAGATAGATATGAACAGATTGTGATAGATAGATAGATAGATGGATAAATAGATAGATAGATAGATAGATAGATAGATAGATAGATAGATAGATAGATGTTTTCAACGGCTGCTTTAGTAAAATGAAAAAAAGCTGTCAGTTTCAAAACATTTCATTTGTACCCCCTTACTTCTTAAAATAACGACTAGCATTCAGATTTATGATTGTTATTACAATTATATGTCAAAGTTGTTAAGCTCAAACATTTAACAATGCAATAGGGGAATTTCTACGGATATTTTATTGTCGTAGAACTCGCCATGAGATTATTCAATCATTAATTTAAGAACTAAGATTCATAAGAATATTAAAATAGGAAAGCCGTGAAAAATTAACGGCTCTTTCTATTAATAATAATTTCTACTACTACTACTACTACTACTACTGCTGCTGATGCTATTACTACTAATACTACTACTAATAATGATAGTAATAATAAGACATATGACAAGTATATCCTGATCATACAGTATACCATGATGGCTTTATTTGGCTTCGGATATTATTATTATTATTATTATTATTATTACCTTTGATTTCTGGCGTTTACACATTTCTTTCCGGGTCCCGCCCAGGGACCTAAGGTTAGAAATGGCGTCATGACACTTTCCACTGACAAAAAAAAAAAAAAAAAAAATTACATAGATAAAGCCCTTCGTAAAGTGTGGGCTGTACTTGTCAGAACAATTTTTTGTATCTCCTTGCGGCATAGACTTCCAGGAATCCCTTCAATTAGTCTACTGCAATCTTTTCCAACCAGTCCTAGGGCTCCAACTACAACAGGGATTGTTGATGTTCCCATATGCCACATTTTTGAGATTTCTATTTCAAGGTCCTTGTATTTTGACAACTTTTTGAATATCTTCAAAGATACATTGCAGTCAGCAGGGACTGCCATATCAATAAGGAGGCATTTTTTTTTGTTTGTGGTCTTTAATAACAATATCTGGGCGGTTGGCTTTGATTGTTCTGTCAGTGTGTATTGTGTAGTCCCATAGAATTGTAACAGGTCCTATCTCCGTAACCGGGTCTGGGTGGTGTTCATACCAGTTTCTTTTCAGTTTCCTTCCCGTAGAAGTTGCAGATTTTCCAGTGCAGATATTGGCCCACTCTGTCATGTCGGGTTTTATATTCAGTGGGTGCCAATATCGTGCAACCTGATACAAGATGATCAATCGTACCTGGATATTTATCACAGAATCTGCATTTTGGGCTGACACAATATTTTAGTATATGTGCTTGATAATTCCTAGTTAGCAAGCATTGGTCCTGTGCAGCAAGGATAAAACCTTCAGTTTCAGCTTTCAACCCTGCACTACGTAGCCACTGATGGGTACAGGTTTTGTCTACGTCAGCTTAATTGGTACGGGCGGAGTATTGGCCATGAAGCGGTTTATCTTGCCAGCGCTTCTGGATCTGGTCGGTTGCATTCGTCTTTGCTGTCTTTTTTTAGGTATTTTGCAGTTTCAGCCGGTGTATTGTGCTGTAGTTGTATCTCTACGCCCATTTGAAACTCCATTTTGAATTTGTTGGCTTTTTTTATTACGGAGTAAAGACGCTTACTACTTTCATGTTTTTTGACGCATACCATCATCCAGTCTTCTGTAGTTTCCAAATATCTTTGGAGGCCAATTGTTGTAGTTTTGTAGGACAGTTCTAGTTGAACTAATCCTCTGCCTCCTTCGGATCTGGGCACATACAGACGATCAACATCAGCTTTGGGATGATGCATGCGATAGCAAGTGAGAAGTTTTCTCGTTTTGGCGTCCATTCGCTTAATTTCAGCTATGGTCCAGTTAAGGACATTAAAGCTGTATTGCACCACAAGGGACAGCCAATGTGTTTATGGCTGATATTCTGTTTTTTGAGTTTAGCTCAGTATTTAGTACCAGACGTACACGCCTGTAGTACTTTTTTCTTATTTTTCCTTCATTTGGGGGGTGTTGTATGCCATCTCCTTCGCTAATTCCTAGGTACTTATAAGCTTCATCATGCTCCAGTTCCTAATCTTTGTGACAAAATCTAAATCTATTAAGGGTGTTTCTGTAATTCTACCTTTCTTGAATGTTACTTTTGCACATTTATCTAATCCGAAGTCCATACCTATGTCGTCACTGAAGTATTTTACAATATTGAGGAGGCCTTTCAACTCATTGTCGTCTTTGGCAAAGAGTTTGAGATCATCCATGTAGAGTAGGTGATTGAATATTTTCTTATTTATTTTGTAACCATAGCTACTGTTGTTCAGTTCATGTGTAAGAGGGATTAAGGATAAAACAAAACAGAAGGGGTTGAAATTATATCTGAAAATTTCCTTGAAAGATTCCACGTCGGATATTCAGACGGTTGGATATGGCAGTATGGTGTGATTTTAAGGTATAGTTTGGTGTTCCACATCATGCAAAAATGCTTAAGGAAATTTTATATATAAAGGGGAAATAAATTTAAAATTTCCAAAGTCTTAAGGATCCAAGAATATGGAACACTATCAAAGGCTTTACGATAATCAATCCACGCTGCACTAATTTTGAAATTATTATTATTAATATTATTAAATTTTATTTTGTCTTGAAAATTATTTTATGAACCTCTATTCCTCATTTTTTATTCCAATGTCATCTTGTTCTTTTGATTGGGTAAAGGAATTAAACAAAAATGTTTTAAAGTTTGAAAAAAAAAATTTAATTGATAGCATTATCAATTAGCATTTTTTTAATAGAATTTTGTTTTATCAAATCTTAGCGTGTTGTATTTATTTAAAAAATTGATGGTAGGATTGGGATATGAAAAAAAAGCGAAATTGTCCATTCCCAAAATTATTATTCATAAATAAATAAATGGTTGGTTCTCAATCATCTAAAATGGTTTCAATTTTCAAATTAAATTTACCATATCTTTTATAAAACAAATCATTTTTGCTTTGTTTGAATTCTGTGGGTATTCATAAAAATTTCCAAACAACCTGATATAATATGGTAACATTTTTATCATATATAATGAAAGATCCTGAATTTTCATTATAGTCGTTTATATCTTATTATAAATTATAAAATATTAATATTCAGAAATTTGAAGATATCCAAAAAAAAATTTGATTTTTTTTCAATAAATGATGCCTCAATGTTGATATATTTGAAATTTTAAAGAAATTTTTATTATTTCTTTTTTTGTTTTTTTGTTTTCATAAAAATGTTTTTTTCATTCTAATTTTTTATAAAATGCATTTTTCAATATTTTTAAATAAAATGTATTATTGGTAAATTTTCTTCATAAAATGTATTCTTTTCATTTTTATAAAAAGGAAATTATTAGTAATTCAATTTAAAATGTATTTATTGGTAATTTACTTAAAAAATGTATCATTGGTAATTCTACTATAAAAATTATTTATTAATTTTTTTTAAATACAAATAAAATATATATCCAAATTTTTTGATTTTGTTATATAAAATGTATTGTTTTTTTTTAATTTTCCTTATTTATTATTGGTAATTATATATCTATAAAATATATATCTTTGGTCATTTGAAAAAAAATTTATTATTTTTTATTTTTATATAAAAAATATTATGATATAATTTATATATAAAATTATTCATTGGTAAAATTTATAAAATATATATAAAGAAATTAATGTTAAAAAAATAAAATAGAAACAATAATTTCTTCAATAAATGTATTGTTTTCATTTTGCTATAAAATGATTGTTATTATTAGAAGAAGAAAATTAAAACTTGATATTAATTAATGTTTTTACTATAAAAATATTTTGTTGGTCATTTGGACAAAAAATATATTTATAAAAATTCAAGTAAAATATACCAAAAAAAATTTTTAGAAAATAAAATAATAGTAGAAATGGTTAAATATTTATATATAAAAATGTATTTCCAAAATTTTTTGATAAATTCAAAATATAGAAATTATTTTCAAAATTATAAAATATATATTTCGTTTTTTTAAAAAAAAATATTTTTCTCATTCAAGTTTTTTAATGAAATTGTTTCATTTTGAATTAAATTCTATCATTTTTGGTCATTTTGGTGAAAACAATGTATTTTTGGTCATTTAAATATAAATGTATTGTTGGTCAATTTTTATATTAAAATGTATTGTTGGTCATTTGATCATATAAATATATTTTTTAATTTGGTTTTTAAAAATATTTTGTTCATTTTGATATAAATTATTGTTACTAGAATACTATATTTGTATTGTTGGTAATTATGTTCTACTATAAATTATTATTATTTCAAATGATTATATTTATAAAATTTTTTGTTGGTATTATATTTATAAATTTATAAAAATATTTATTTTTTTTTTTTTTTTTTTTTAAAGGTTAAATACTGGACATATAATATAGATTTTGACATTAAAGGTGTTACCATTTTTATATAGATTTATATTAAAAGAACATAGAACATTTATATATTTATAAAAATAGATTCAAAATCCTTCAATCATATATCTGAGGCCTTGCTTATTTAATATATAGTTTAATCGTAAAATATTAATAAAATATAATAAATAAAAAAAAAAAATAATAAAATTCAGAAATTGAGAATAAATATGAATCAATATTCATAATCAAAGAGAATTTAATAAAAATTTTACTAAGGAAACAACTTTTATAATAGGGCATCAGCGGTCAAAATATTTTCAATCTTTTTCACAATTTTTATTTTTATATATTTATAAATGGATGTTAAGTTTTCATCCTTTAAAGAGTCAATGAAGATTATAGTATGTATGAATTATTTTAACGTTTTTTTTTTTTAAAATATTCTTTGAAGAAGGAAGATGTTAAAATCATTTTTTTCTTCTTATTAAGGAATTATGATTAAATGACAATGATTCGATTAAATGTTTGAAAAAAGGAGGTGGGAATCTGATTTTGAATTGTTTATTTCGGGTCGTCTAAATATAAATGATTTTTTTTGTTGAATTTTAAAACCTGGGAAGATTATTTGAAATATTACGTCGTTATTAAAAATAAGAAAATTGCGTCCTATTTTACGAATTTTTCTACAAATTATTATAATTTTTATAAACTGAGATTTCCTAAGATA